CCGTGAGGGAGTATCGACGGCAATTCGAAGTCATGGCGGCCCCATTAGCGGGAATTCCAGAGCAGGTCCTGGAAGGAAATTTCATCAAAGGACTGAAACCGGACGTGAGGGCTGAAATTCGAATGCTCAAACTGTAAGTTTCTGAGGAGAAAAATATAAATCCTTTCTTGATTTAATTGGTGCAAAACCGGAGTATAAATAGGATACAAAAGGACCTAGTTCCCGTGGCTTAGTGAATCCGGGAAACTAACCCTAATAGGATAGAGAAACTATCCTCAAGATATTCCTAGAATCTTTTCTAAGAAATAGGAACTGCCCCCTAAACTAGGAGAGATATGCGATATGGAGAGATATGCGATATCTCCTAATTTAAACAATATCTCCTAATTTAAACAATCTCCAAATTAATTACATAATTCAATAAGAACATATAAGCATAATGAGGGTATGGAACTGACCACTTATGTAGCGTCTCGTGATAAATCCTCTTATAATGATTGTAAACAGCCACAGAAAGCACCTGAATTCCAAAAATACAGTTAAGGCTCCATAGAGTTCATTCTTGCATTACTCCGAAAGACCAATCATCAACATACTTCATCACTAGTTTAATTAACATGAATTACAAGCAAAGAAACCATCCCAAAAAAGCAATTTCCTTCCTAAACCAAAATCCACAGATGTTTTCCAACATTACAAACCGCATTTCAAATATCTCCATTTATAAGAAAGTAAGCTTTCATACTAAACCAAAGAAAGTAAAATCTTAAGGAAACCAAAGTTCTGATTTTCTATTCCAATGCAAATGACCAAACTACAAAAGTCTAAAAACTTCACCTTTTTGGCCCCCCGTTGCCCAATCACAAACTTGTCAAGCCCTTTGCAAATTTCCTTGGGCGTTGGGAAACTACCCCCGAAATTGGACCCTCCCCAGGAACCATCCTTCGAATTGGACCCGAATCCACCACCTGAGCCGGAGCTCGAACCACCACCACCAGCACCGCCGCCGCCGCCGCCACCTCCGCGGACCAAATTCGTGATCGGACCCTGCCTGACCACAATCCCGTCGCCGGACCATACCTCCGGCGGGTCCCCATACGAGCTTAAAATACCATTTTGCCCCTTAATTCCCGATTTCTCGCCCCAATTCCCGTCGTTGGAGAGGTGGGAGCCCTTGTCCACCAACTCGCCGCGGAGAGAGATGGGCTTGAAGGAGGTGAAACTGTAGGGAGTGCTGGCGAAGAGGTCGTCCCCTCTGCTGCGGTTCGTGCAGTGAGAACTCGCCGTCCGACCGTGGCTGGAGAGGAAGTGCCTGAATTGGGACACCGCGAACGACGCCGTTTCCTTGGAGGACTTCGATCTGAGCGCGGCGGCCATTGAAGCGGTTGGGAGAATTTTGCTGGGAAAGTGAGGGAAAGCGAAGGTGAGTTAGGCGAGGAAAGTGGATATTTTGAAGGTCATACAGAGGTCAAATTTTGGGATATTTTTGAGAAAATTGAGTGTGAAATCGACTGGATTTTGCCGTATAATCTAGATTTTTGTGGATATCGTGAATGGTAAGCGAATTTTTAAGAAAAATTTAAAATTGGGAAGTTGGAGAAGAAGACGATAAACAGTTTATTTTCTTCTCTCTTTTTTTTTTTTTT